CTGTGCGGGACATGGATGGGGACTCGCCAGAGAAAGCCTGTGGCCCTGGGACTCCAGGCTTCGATTTCAAGTGTGGTTTGCCAAGGGTGACCCACTTCCATGATAAGTCTGTGTTCTATGTGGATCGCATCACATGAGTAACCCTCACCCCTTTGCGACATGGAGGCATGAGGCCCCGTTTGAACACATGTCCTCCTCCTGTCCCTCCAGGTGGTGAGCCCAGAGGAAGGCTTGTGTTGGGCTCAATGTCTTTGGGCCAGTGTCCCAAAGCCAGGTGCCCGGCCCCTGGTGTGCTGAAGCTTGGGACCTTCCTAGTGACCTGGTCTCCTGCAATGACCTGTGGTGACTACATCCGGGTCCCACTGGATGCCTGTGCAAGAAGGAGGGTGTCCTGGGTTGGGTCGATGATGAGAACCTTGTATTGTCCTGAAGAGGGGTGATGACTTAAAAATGATGCTCAATAAGATTACCCTGAAGCCCAGCGTAGGTGAGAATTTTGGAAGAAGATGCTGGAATCCCGAAGTCCTCATCAGGGCCCCTGTATTTTGGGCTGGAGACCTGGAGGGCCTGAAGGACATCTGGGGGGACCAACCCTGTCTCTACACTCCTCCGTGAGGCAGCCCAGGCTCCCTGTGTGGGCTTGCTGTTGGTGGTCCAGTTTCCTGGGGTGGGGCATGAGGGCAGTTCCTCCCTGAGCCCCCTTTCTCCGTTTTTGTCTTACAGTGAGCTCCTCCACCCAGGCAGGGCACCCTGGCATTGAGCGGCATAGGTCAGTGGATCCTGCTGGTGTTATGGGCCATGGGTCAGGCTGTGTGGAGTCATTGAGGGTCAGCCTTCAGAACAGGAGGGTTTCCTTAGGGAGCAGACTTGAATGCCCACCAGGGATGGAAGGGTTGATCCTCTAGGAAAGTGGCTTCCTGAGGAATCGAACCCAAGGAGTACGCCTTCCCTGGAGTCCTGTGGGGATGACAGTCATCCAGACAGGAGAGGGTTCCTTCAGTCTCACACAGGTCAGCTCCCAGCTGAGTCTTCGTGTGCTGGTGTGACCTCGAGGACTGTGTAGGCCACATGAGGCTGTCCACAGGGCCTCGGGATGCCATGGGGTCACACAGGAGCTCTCCATCTGTGGAGAAAGGTGGGCTAGGGCCCATGGAGTTGAGCTGCAGTTATTCAAGGATCGTACATGACTTATTGCCCTGAATGGCATGGACCAATTGAGCAATATGCCAACCCATGGCACCTCTTTGAGCGTGGAGGGGGCGGTGCTATTTCCCTAGGTTTGGGTCAAGGCTGAGCTCAGGCTGGCACCTGGTGTTGCTGCAGTCTGACCATGGACTCGTTAGGTTTAGGTCAAGGGGTCAGTCCACGTATTGCTGAGGTTCTCTCCTTGGCTGAAACTCACCCCATTCCTGTGGGCAAGTGTCTGGAAGGGTGGCCTCCTGA